AGCCAGCACCACTTCCCTAGGAAGTTGGTTCCAGCTCCTAGCCGCCCTAACTGTGAAGTAGTTCTTTAAAGTGCTTTAAATAACTTCTGTATGCTGGTCAAATTTGTAACCAGTGGAGAAGACCCAGAAGGCTGTGGAGCACCCCCTGTCTCCTATCCTGGAACGTGCAGGGAGGCTCAGACCCACTCTTCCTCCCCCTTCATCCCTGCCCCACCAAACACTGCAATTCTGTCTTTTTAAGAGCTCTGTAACTTTATAGTGCTATAAAAATTGCTCTAAATTTTAGTGCTGTAAAATGTTCATGGAGCACTTCTGTACATACCCTTAGTTATCTTAACACTAATTTTTTTCTCTCTTTTTGTTTTTTTTTTGTACCATGCTCTCATTCTGTTCCACATGACTTTTGCAATGCCTGATACATTTTCCTGTCTGAATTTTCTTCTCCCACTTCCTTTCTTTTTTTTTCCTTCCATTTTTCTATGCTCCTACAAGGACTTTCCCCTCCCATCTGTTTTCATTCTATTAGCTTTTCCTATCCTATGTCATTTTCAAGACTCTAACATTTTTCTGTCTCCAGATCCCTATGTATATATTCCTCTTGGCTTTTGTTCCCTTATCTTCTTCATGTTCCAAAATAAATTCTCAGAGCTTAGCACCAAAACATCATTTGTAGGATAAAAAAGCCTGCTTTAAGGTTCTGGCTCTGACTCTAGAATCTTTTGCATGTATACATGCAGTCAGTAGCATTCCCCATACAATAAGCAAATGATCATCTCCTACACTGGACAAAAGTGTTTATTAAACCATAATTTGTTGATTATTTCAGAATTATCCGCAGCCTTTTCTGTGTTGTTGATCGTGCAATTTTGTTGATTCATCCAACTCTAAATAGACCGGACATTACTACTTTTCAATTGTTTTGTTTTTTCCTGTGTGGGTGATCTCAGAAGAAGTGGTTATTAATGAATAATTGTTTAATTGGGTATAGTGACATGTACTATGATTTTAGAAGGAATAAACTTCAGTGAGCATATTAATGGGCACGGTAGAATCTCACTAATTTGCACCTCACTGATTTACAAAACCAATAATTAAAAAATTTTATTAGTGCTAACACCCAGCAAAGATTTTGGACTATGTTGTCCTTGACCTCTGTGTAAAGAAGAAAACAAACCACTCCTTCCATTTTCTACATGTTAAAGTGTCAGGAACAATTAAATAATATTTCCATACTTTAAACAAAGATACTAAATGAAGACAATCCTACTAAGAACAATTAAAGACTACATGCTTGGAAGAAAACAGAGATAGTTTAGATTCTAAGGCAAAAGAATCTCAAAAGTACCATATTTACCTTAATTCAAGATAACTTCAAATTTAAGTTCCTCCTTCCTCCACCCTGTAATTAGATTCTATTCATGGAAAGCTACATTAGTTATATTTTTCTATTTATAGAATTTAATTACTGGATGGCTATCTGTTATTGGATGGTTAATTCATTATTGGTTGGTTAATTCGTACTCCTCACTGCTGCACCGGGGAAAGCAGTGGGGGTGGGGGGGAGGGGGGAAGTAATGAGGAAAGCAGTGGTAAGCGGACAGGTGAGGAGGAAGCAAGTGGTAGGGTGGGGTAGGCAGCTTGACCTATGTTCTTTATCTACCCCTCCCACCTGTTCCTTATCATCTAGCCGTTTGCCCCTCCATCTGTCCACTTTATTACCTTCCCTCCCCCTGCTGCCACTTACCCTATGTGGCAGCTCTGGCTCTGGATCTGGCACAGGATATGGAGCACACAGTGGCTCTAGCCCTGGCCTTGACCAGGCAGTGGTGACAACTTCAGCCCCAGCCTTGGCCAGACAGTGGCAGCAGTTGTAACTCCAGCACTAGCCTCAGCTAGGCAGTGGTAGTGGTGGCAGCTCTGGCCCCAGCCCTCATCTTAGCCTACAGTAGCCAATGCCTCCACCTCCAGCTTCAGCTCTGGTCTGGGACCTAGGCCTGGACCCAGGTCAGGCCTGGAGCCAGAGCTGGGGCCACAGCACCACCTGCTCCAGGCCACTACTTGATTCTAAGATGAGGCTCCCACCCTACCATGTTTAATGGTTGGGGGGAATTTAATCTTGGATTCAACTAAATACAGTAGTTGGGGTTATAGCCTCATTTTCCCTTTGCATTGGCACATCTAACAGTTCATTATCTTCTCAAGCATATTCTGTAGTACGAAGATCTCTGCCACCCCCAAAACCTACTTTGTCAACCTGATGATTTGCTTTGTTTGTGCCTAATGACTTGCTTTAGATCTGGATTAACAGAATGCTATGCTTAGGTCTCATCTTGCTAAGATTGAATAGTGTACCAGTAAGTATGGGTATTATCATAGTCTGTTAACACTAAACTTGTTAGCATAGCTGGTTGTTTTTTTGGTGGAACAGTATACTGGTAAATTAATTATGCACTTTTTATGGGTGTGGGTTAAGTTTCACTGTATCAAAAGATACCATCAGTTTGCTCCTGTGTACTACCAGTGACCTTCAGCTGTTTTAGAATAATAGTAGACATTTCTAAAAGAAGAAATATGCAGCATGACCATGTTAGCCAACCAAAAGCTACCCTAGCCAGCCCCTCCACAGCATGTTGAGCTGGAGGGAGAGCAGCTCCAGGTTAGTGGGCTCAGTCCCTGAGCACCCCTGCCAGCTATGTCTGTGCTGCCCCAACTTAACACACTGCAGTCCTGGGCATATATGTGTATGCTGCACCGGGGAGCAATAAACTCCGGTGCGAACTGCACCAGAGTTTATTGTGTTGCATTAACATTGTACGTAGATGTGCCCAGAAAGTATGAAAGAAAGGTTAACATCCAGTTCTTTCATGCCTTGTCACTAAAGCAGGTATTGTACGGAATGCTGTACTTTATCCTTAGAAACATCCAGCAGAAAATTGTTGAATACTGTGTCAGTTTTTAACTTCAAAATGTTTATTGAAAACTATGTGATTTGCGAAAACTATATGCAACCTCAGTTGCAGTGAGGTACTTTGATTTATCTGGTTATTTCTCACTAGCTTGGGGGTGGGGAGTTGATTCTGTTTTACAGGCATGGGTATTTAAGTCTGTGCATAATATACACCATATTGTAAAAAAATGGTAGTCTAAAGTTGGAATGTTTATTCTAGCACTGGTTTACGTCAGAAATGTTTTGACACATTTACGTGTGCTTTTTCCAATTTGTGAACAGAAAAAAAGAAATATTTCTGGCATTAATGAAATTGGGAAAATAGGCCAAGTTAGTGTAGGCTGTTCGTACTATAATCTGATAGATAAAAATGCTTTGAAAAGTGACATATCAGTTGATTCTGATTCAGGTTGGAAGACAAAGCAGTTGGGTTTTCAGGTTTTCTCTTTTTTTTTCTTTATTCTTTGCTGACTACTCTTTTTTTAAAATGAGCAACCAGACTCTTTATTTTCAGCAATACTTGGGGTCTGTCGGTCTTATGGTCAGTAGGACTTGTTAATTATTAGTTTCTTAATCACATTGATGCTTAGGAAAATGATGATGACATAAGTGTTTCTTTAAATTAGACAATACTTTATATCTAGGATTCAATTGGTGATTTGTGAATGTTTTGTTTGCTGTAGGGATATGGGTTTTCAGTAGAACTCTGTATGGATTTAAAAGCACTGTAGTCTCCAGCTGGTAGATGCATAGGTAGTTTGGTATGATCCCTGTAGTAGATTTTATGGAATTAATTGCCAGAAATAATTTATGATTCTAATTTAAAATTCCCTTTAGCACTTTTTAGATTAAATTGTCTTTTGTGACTGCTTATGTTTCCAAAATGTTCAGAGCTCACAGTTATTTTTGTGTCCATCCTTTTGGGTGGTGGCCCATTGTTCACAAATTCTGTTATTAGAAATACAAGCTTTCAGGTTCAAATAAGGAAGTGAAATATTAGGAGTCAGAAGATAAAAGTTAAGTTTTAAATTAAAGGAATCAATTCATCTTGGCAGACTGTGCAGTGTATTTAGTACTCTACTTTATTCGCCAGGGCAGCAATGGGAGCAGCTGAGCTTTGAACACTGAATGTAGGAGCCTTAAAGAGATTTTGGACTCTTGAAAATCTGGTCCTTAAACTCCTTGGACTTACCACTCACCAGCCAGCATTGTTCACTACATAAGCTGTATGGGTTATCTCCAAGATATCCAGAAAATTTGGAGTTAAAAATGACTTGAAAATGAGACAGCAACCTGGGTTCTAAAGGTAGAGTTAGCTAGAGGAATGATACTCTGAAGATGTCACCAAGAGTTAAAATTATATGAGAAAGTGTTAAGCTTGACTAAAAGTTCAGGTGCTTACGGAAATGGAAGAAGTGAACAGTCACCTTTTTTCTGCACTTTTTTATCCTCTCTATCCATTTTTTATTTTCTACTAACAGTTAAAAAATAATCTGTGCAAGAAATAATTCCGATGCATTAGATCAGCTTTGAAAGTTCAATCCATTACAGATTTCCTGAGTGTTCTTAAAGGCTATTGGAGTCAAACCTTATCTTCATGAGTCAAAAAGGTGTATATTTTAAGACAAAGGAAATAACATGAGTCAGAATTCTAATGGAGGTAATGCAGCTGTAATTTTTAGACAAATTAGCAGGTTGTAAGGGAGTGTTTAACATTTTTGACCTGCTTATGTGTGTGAAAATTACAACTGTCTTGTCTCCTAATACTTTATTATGTCAGTTGACCACACATTAGCTAATGCATGTCAAGAAAGCACCTTTTCCTGACTTACTTTGTATACCCCTGAAAGACAAATAGGAGCTGGTCAAAAGTGGTCATCATTAGGATTCCTTTAAATATTCCCACTTTGAGGTATCAAAATATAGTAGCACTAATAATTGTTGCACAAGAAATGTCTTTTGGTCTATCTGAAAATAATCAGTTTGTTTCAGAATTTCTTTTGAAATAATTTTTTATCAAGGCAATATTTTTGTCTGTTTGTTTTTTAGGTTTTGAAGACCTGGGTGACTCATCATGGGGAACCATGCAGGAAAACGCGATCATACTTCTGAGAAGCTAGTTAAGGTAAGAGAAGAGAATGCTAGAGAAAAAAAGGATAATACCAAAAAAAAATGTGTTTTGAAATGGCAGTGTTCTTGCTAAGTTTATTTTTATTTTTGTTATTGTATAGTCATTGTAATGACATTTTTTAAAGTCATGGAAAAATAGTGATAAATGGGAATCCATTTTACTAAATTTCATGAGAGATGTAGCATCTCAGCATTCTTCATGGTAGGCTATACACTTGATATGACACTAGCCATTCTTGATAGCAATGGGAAAATGAAACCTGAAAGAAAAATATGCTGCCTTTTTTTAAGTAATACTGCACTAAATAAGTTGTTTCATGTTAACTTAGTTTACAGATATAAACAGTGATTTCTGAGGTCCATTCGAGGTGCTGCAGGATGCCAGGCAATGGTAGCATTGTTAGCTGTGTAAACATGATTTGCGAGTCTTGCAAGACAAACCTAGAGATTTCAAATAAGAATACACAGCTTTAAAAACTGATCAGTTGGGGTCTTTCTGAGTTCTTTGCATACGAAAAAATGCTGTATTATTTTTCCATAGTCAAAAAATGAGTGAAAAATAAGAGCTGATATTTTCTGAGGGTACCTTGAGTCTAAGAAGGGCTGCCTTGAGCCTAAAAAGGTTGAGACAACTGGGTATATGTTTCAGCAAATATTTAGCTAACTTGCCATTAACACAGGAATGAAATAAAAGACTGGAACAACTAAAAGGATATTACAAATGGAGGATTGTAATGAAACCTAAGAATTACTTACTTATTGCATGCTTCTAGGAGCTGGGCTTTAAAAGAAGCATGTCAAATATTGTGCAATGCACAATAAAATAAAAATTGTGTGCACTGCAAGGTAGTGCCACATGCTCTTCAGAGTTCTGCTGATACTGGGTCTGTAGAGAAGGTGCTCAGTACCTTTCTTTCCTTCATCTGAATTTTTACCAAAAAAGGGAACACATGGGTATGATTTAATCTAGAAGACAAGTTAGTAATGTTTTCTGCTTGTAACTGTTACTCATTTTGACCCCAGACACTGAATCCAGCCTATTGTCTCCATAGAATGACCATGCATATTGGGTAGCAAGATAAACAGCTGCTCTGCACCTGGAAGAACGCTAGTAGTTCACAGTGCTATGGTACAAACAATTAATGTGCCCCCACAGATAACGGAATATATTATGGAATAATGGTATAGAGACGAGTCCTTCAGCAGGTCCTTTTAGAAACTGGAGTTTAGTATTTGGAAAATAAAACACATTAGAAAAAGAGGAAGAAATCATCACAGGGTTGGGGGGAAACCTCTGAAGAGGGCAACAGGTTACTTGTAAAGGAAGCAGCATGTATAGCTCAGGTATTAATGTAATAAGGCTGTGGGGGTCTTCGGTGCAACCACAACAAAAGTAGTGGTGTTTGATATAAAAGTCACAACAGAGGTCAGATTAATATGGATTGTCAGTTGTACCAACCACCCTTTATGAAATTTAATTCGTTACCAAGATGAAGCGCACCATGTAGGCATATTTATACACTGAGCTTAAAAAAAACCCAAGAAAATAGTTGTGGGGGAGAGAGCCGATAAGAAAAGAAGGCTTATTAAGCAAAGTGTCATATTTCCATTAATTAAAAAGACATATTTTTGATCATCTTTCTACAATGAGTATTTGTTTCTGAAATGACACTGTTGATATCCACTTGTAATAGAAATATTTTGCTAAGCTGGAATTAAAGATAGCTGATGCCCAACAATGTTCTGCTCCTCATCACACGTCTTTGTAGGATGTGAAGATTCCAGAAATTCCCAGACACAGAAACGAGGAAATACCTCATTACAATCTCTCAATGAAAACCATGTTAGTGCTTTATGAAGACATAAGCCACAGAGCTCCAGAAACTGGGAAATCAATGCACAGTTAGGTACACGGTACAACCAGAGCCTTAAAACTGTCCATACTGACCTGGAAACAGGAACTGGCAGCATTACAGGAGGATAGTCTTCTTCAGGGAAAGGAAAAACTAAGGATTATTTTCTCTCTCTCCTTCACCAGTGTGAATCATCTCTTTTTTCTGCTATCTACCAGTGAAATATGGAAAGCAACTAACAGAATAGTGTTACTGGAAATACTGATTTGCCTTTCCTCACTTACAAAAACCAAAATTAAAGAGGCTAAATGTGCAATAAAAATATATATCCAAATGAGTATTTTGGAGCTTTGAGCTAATTATTTCCCATTTCGCAGAAGAATGATACAATCAGGAATTATATCTTGGAAGCCCTTGAGCAAGTGATCTCAAATGCATACCACAGACTCCATACTAGGTCACTAGGTTTTCAAGCTGGTTATCTTATATATGATGATATATAGATTTTAGGAAGTCTTTAAACAGAAGATGTTATATTCATTATATTGTTAATTCTATGGTGGTCACTAAACTTTTGAGCAGGTACTTTGTCTACCTTCAGCAAATCAGGATATTATTCTAACGGCACAAACTAAGGGGATGGAGCTTTAAAATAACTCTTGCATTTAATTTCTATCAAGAAACGAACTAGAAGACTTTCAATTAATGCTAAAATAAGCAATCTGTAAATAATTAAGATGAATTATATGACTTATCAGCTGTATTAGGAAAAAAACCTGAGAAATGATGGATTAAGTGAGATAAAACAATATTCATTCTAATCAGCAACTTATTCTGCTTCAGCCCTGCTGTATTCTTATAAAACTGACACCTGCAGTTTTATAGATTTGTAAAATGGCAGTAAGTCATTTGATTTCCTTTGTTCTTGCTTCACTGGGAACCACTGAGTGCTTGCTACTTTTTGGAATCAGATCATTTATTTATGAAACAAACTGAAGATTTACACTACTATATTTATGCTTCCCAGTTTTGACAGTCTTGACCTACATCTAAATCAATATATTCAGTATAGGTAAAACCCCTCAAAATCTTTTGTACTCCTGAATTTTTCCTAAGGAGGCCATTACCTTCCAGGGTCTTATGAACTGCTATTAGTTACTAAATTTATATTAATCTTCCATGCTATTGTATCTTGTATTAAGTTGATACTACAGGTAAACGAGTAGGTTGTTTATGTACCTATACAGTAAGTAGTAAGAGTCATTTTGGATATACTATTGGCTGAAGTCCCCAGTAGTACTCCCTTTTTAACATTCACTAATAAAGTTAAATCTCTCTTCACATCTCAACCACTCACTGAGGACAGGATTGTCTCAAACTCGAGGATCCTTTCAGTACACTTGACAAAGTTCTTCTTTAATCTCTGTGTCCTTGATTAATTGTTGATTTACAACTAAAGGTATTGAGCCATTGGCTCAGTTCGTATACTTGACAGAACAGTTGTGTGTGTTTATAAAGTAATTGAAGCAGCATTGAAACAGCAAGCAGATAACTAAAATGTTGCTGCACACCTCTAGCTTTGCCTAAGAATTTGGGGAAACATTTGTTTGCTGCAGTAAATTAATTTTCCCCAGAAGAAATTTAAAACTGATATAATAGTAATGCCTCCAATTTGCTGTCTAATATTTTATTTAAGCTGTAAGTTCTATTTAGTTATGGTCTTAAAAACATAGTTTATACTATAGTTATATAGTTAGTTTATACTATACAGTTTCTATTATAGAGCATCTAATGTTTGTATCAGAATTGCTTGTTGTGTTCTATGAAGCAAGAAGAAAATCATTCATGATTAGATTCTGCTCTAAATAATTTTAATCTCATAAAATTAACCTAGTACAGAAGGAGGTGTGTATCTGTCCCACAAGGAAAATGGTGGCATGAGAAGTTCTTGGGGATGATTCATAGATTCATAGATGTTAGGGTCGGAAGGGACCTCAGTAGGTCATTGAGTCCGACCCCCTGCCCTGGGTAGGAAAGAGCACTGGGGTCAGAAAACCCCAGCTAGGTGCTTGCTCTTGAAGACCCCCAAGGTAGGGGAGAGCAGCACCTCCCTTGGAAGCCCATTCCACATTCTGGCAACCCTTACTGTAAAGAAGTTCTTTCTAATGTCCAACCTAAATCTGCTGTCTGTCAATTTGTGGCCACTGTTCTTCGTTACTCCAGGGAGTGCCCTAGTAAATAGAGCGTCTCCTATTCCCTGCTGCCCTCCCCTGATGAATTTATAGGCAACCACAAGTTCACCTCTCAGCCTTCTTTTGTGAAAGCTGAAGAGATCTAGGTCCCTCAGTCTATCCTCGTAGGGCCTTGTCTGCAGGCCTCTAACCATATGAGTGGTCTCCTCTGAACCCTTGCAAGATTCTCCGCATCCCTCTTGAAGTGCAGTGCCCAAAACTGGATGCAGTACTCCAACTGCAGCCTGACCGGTGCTGCATAGAGGGGAAGCATCACCTCCCTGGGCCTGTTCATCATGCATCTGCTAATGCATGATAAAGTGCGGTTAGCCTTGTTGATCACTTCGTCACAGGGACTGCGTGTCATGCTGGGCCGGGTCCTGCTTCCATGGAACCAGCCTGGCCCAACGGCGCTCAGGGCCCATGGAGACAGGACCCAGCCCAGTACAACATATTGTCCCCACGAGTGGGGCCAGGCCCTGGATGACAGCTTAAATGGCTCAAGTGGCCCCGTGCCACACTGGTCCTGCACTGAGCGGCATAGGTGGCACCAGCTCTGAGGCGATTGGGGCTGTGCCATGCCACTGGGGGCTCTGGCTGCAGTGGGTCGCTGCTGTTCTGGGAGTGAGCTTGTAGGCCTTGTGAGGGGCCTGGGGCCCTGCAGGGGGTGCATGTGGGCTCTGTGGGAGTGTATGTGTGCCATGCAGGGGGGGGCATGTGCCCTGTAGGGGTAAGCTGTGGCCCTGTGGGGGGCGGAAGTCCATATGCTGTAAACGGGGGGGGCTACACCCTGTGGGGGGCAGGGGACCCACTCCTCCTGAGCAGCTCCCCGCACACAGTCCCCCCACAATCCACCCACAACACCCACATACCCAGCCACAAATTCCAAACCCCTGCACATGCCTCATACC